GATCTGGGTCTGGTGAGCTGCAGGATCTGAGCTGGGATGATGGAGGTCAGGACCTGGTGAGCTGCAGGATCTGAGCTGAGGGTTCTGGACCTGGATCTGTGCTTGAAGCCTTTGCCTGGAGTTTTGTGGAGATGTTCAGAGCGGTCTCTGAGCTGCCATCCCTCAGCTTGGCCCCTGTTCTCCCATTTCTCCTGGATTAAACATCATCACTGCCAGATGTAACCTTTGCTATTAGAGAAGAGTCCCCAGAGGGTCCTGGTAGGGTTTTTCCAGCCTGGAAAAATCATGAGTGGCAGAGGAGAGAGTCCAGAGTGGGACTGTGGGGAAGGCCGTGCAGTGGCAGGGTCAGGCAGGTGCCCTGTGTCCCACAGCAGCACAGCCTTGGCCTTACACACCTATGTCTGTCCCCAGGCGTGTCCCCATCAGGCCCTGGTGTGGTGGTGATGCAGCTGAATGTCCCCAACGGCCCCCAGGCCCCCCAGAACCCCCCCGTGGTGCAGTGGAGCCACTGTAAGTACTACAGCCTGGAGCAGCGGGGACAGAAGCCAGGAGACCTCTACAACCCCGACACCAGTGCTCAGGTACTGGGAGGGACTGGGAGGCCTTTGGGGTGGGCTGGGTGATGGCTTGGGGGGTCACAAGCCCTGGGGGTGTCTGACACTGTCCCTCCCCCAGGCCAGCACCCAGCTGAACAGCCCCATCACGTCCCCCACGCAGTCCCCGACGCCGTCGCCCGTCACCAACCTCAACAGCGTGTGCACGGGGCTGAGCCCCCTCCCCGTCCTCACACAGTTCCCCAGGCCCATGGGCCCAGCACAAGGTAAGGGAGAGGCCTGTGGGGACAGCCCAGGGTTGGGAATGTGGGATTTTTTCCTGGGAACCCCACAAATTCGGGCTCCTTGTGCAGGTGATGGGAGGTACTCGCTGCTGGGCCAACCTCTGCAGTACAACCTGTCCCTGTGTCCCCCGCCGCTGCTCCACAACCAGCCCAGCTACACAGGACACCAGGTACAGCCAGGCCAGGTGTCCCTTCCCCAGCCCCTCTGTGGGCACCACAAAGCCACAATGTCCCCTGAGGTGACACGGTGCTCTTTGTCTCCTTCAAGGGGCAGACTGGAATGAAACACGGGAACCGCAACAAGAGACAGGCCCTGAAGTCGGCGTCCACCGACCTGGGGACAAGTGACGTAGGCAAGTGACCCCCTCCGGCCTCTTTTAGCCCTCTGATGTCCCCACAAAGGGATGTTGGAGATTCCAGGTGCCATCCCTGCCCACACCAGCATCCCACAGAACTCTGTGTTGGAGACTCCAGGTGCCATGCCTGCCCACACCAACGTCCCACAGAACCCTGTGCTGGCTTTGGAGGGTGGTTCCTGCCAGTCCCTCCTCCCCACACCCACAAACACCCCCCAGCCCAGGTGGGTGCAGGCTGGGGGTGCAGCAGATCCAGCCCCAGCCTGCTGTGCCCTGGGGGAGGTGGGGGAACAGGGAGTAAAACCTCTGAGGAGGACACCTGGGTGCTATTCCTGCCTCTTAGAGGGTGGAGATGATGGAGCTGGCAGAGCTGGGATTTTATTCCTCTTTCTCAGCAGAAAGTGATTGTCCAGACTCTGAGATCTCACTCCCACTGCTTTTCCAAGTCACTCTTCCCACTCATGCCTCCCTTTCCCATGGGGCCTGCAGCTTCAGAGCCTCATTTTTGAGATTTGGGATCTCTGAGTGGCTGTGAGAGCTGAGGGTTCCAGTGAAAACTTTCCACCCATGTCCAGGGTGTCTCCACTGGGTCCTTGGGAAGAGAGGGACCCACAGCTTGGAGGGAGCAGCCCTCAGTGACCCTCTGGAGGCTTGTCCCCCATGTCACCTCAGTGTCACCACCCGCAGCTGGTTGCAGGGGCCCTTTAAGAGCTGCCTCCCCCCTCCTGCCCCTGGCATGGTCCCTACGTGCCACGTTAATATTAGCAAAGAATCCTCCAGCAGCTCTGCTAAGCCCAGGCCAGGGCTGGAGCCAGGAGCTGCAGAGGGATTTGGGTACCAAGGGCAGGGGCTGCAGCTGCAGAGGGATTTGGGTACCAAGGGCAGGGGCTGCAGCTGCAGAGGGGTTTGGGTACCAAGGGTAGGGGCTGGAGCTGCAGAGGGGTTTGGGGGCCACAGGACAGGGGCAGAGTTCAAAACCAGGAGCTGCAGAGGGATTTGGGGACCACTGGGCAGGAACTGGAGCCTGGAGCTACAGAGGGATTTGGGGGCCACAGGGCAGGGGCAGAGGTCAGAGCCAAGAGATGCAGAGAGATTTGGGGACCACTGGGCACGAGCTGGAGCCAGAGGGATTTGGGGGCCACAGGGCAGGGGCTGGAGCTGCAGAGAAATTTGGGTATCACAGGGTAGAGCTCAGAGCCAGGAGCTGCAGAGAGATTTGGGTGCCACGGGGTAGAGCTCAGAGCCAGGAGCTGCAGAGGGATTTGGGGGCCACAGGGCAGGGGCTGGAGCTGCAGAGAAATTTGGGTATCACAGGGTAGAGCTCAGAGCCAGGAGCTGCAGAGGGATTTGGGGGCCACAGGACAGGGGCTGGGGCTGCAGAGGGGGATTTGGGTACCACAGGGCAGGAGCAGAGGTCAAAACCAGGAGCTGCAGAGGGATTTGGGGACCACTGGGCAGGAACTGGAGCCTGGAGCTGCAGAAGGATTTTGGTACCACAGGGCAGAGCTCAGAGCCAGGAGCTGCAGAGGGATTTGGGGACCACAGGACAGGGATAGGGGAGAGCCAGGAGCTGCAGAGGGATTTGGGGGCCACAGGGCAGGGGCAGAGGTCAAAACCAGGAGCTGCAGAGGGATTTGGGGACCACTGGGCAGGAACTGGAGCCTGGAGCTGCAGAGGGATTTGGGTACCACAGGACAGGACACACCCAGTGCCACCACCCTCCACGGTGCAGCCATTCTCCCTGCCAGGATCAGGGTGGCACCGTGGGGTTGGCTCCCAGTCCTGCTAGCTGAGGGTTTGGGGTAGGAAAACAGCACAGAGCCCCTGGGAAAGCCTGAACTATCCAAAGGACACCAGGAGGACTTGGTGTCCCTGCAGCTGTGGGAATACCCACATCTCCTCCTGAAGCAAAACCAACATTGTGGGCACAGGGGGGGATTGGGATGGGGCATGCTGGGGATAAGGTAGGGGTGGTTTGGAGGGCTTAAAAGAATAACTGGCTTAAAAGAATATATTGGGTGGCTTCAAAGAATAGATTGGGTGGCTTCAAAGAGTAGATTGGGTGGCTTCAAAGAATAGATTCCTGCTGGGAGCAGCTTGGTTCCTGTGCCCAGGAGAGGTGGCTGCTCCAGCCCGGTGGCACCTGGTGACACGCGGCTCCTTCCCTGCAGTGCTGGGCCGGGTGCTGGAGGTGACAGACCTGCCCGAGGGCATCACACGGACAGAGGCCGACAAGCTCTTCACCCAGCTCGCCATGGCCGGTGCCAAAATCCAGTGGCTCAAAGAGACTCAGGGGCGCCGCGGGGACGGAGGCGGCGGCGGGGACAACAGCGGGACTCCGGAGAACGGCAGGCACAGTGACCTCGCTGCCTTATACACCATCGTGGCCGTGTTCCCCAGCCCCCTGGCTGCCCAAAACGCCTCCCTCCGACTCAACAACTCCCTCAGCCGCTTCAAACTGCGCGTGGCCAAAAAGAACTACGACCTGCGGGTGCTGGAGCGGGCCAGCTCCCAGTAGGGCACCGGGCACTCCCCTGGGCCTCTTCTCCTCCCACCCTCCCTTCCTCTTGCCCTCTTTCCTTGATATATTTATATGAACATAATTAAGAGACAAGAAGTTGATTTTTTTTTTTTTAATTATTGTTTTTTTTTGGAGTGACGCCCGTGCCCGCCCCCCTCCCCTGTGTCTATGGTTTTGTTTAAGCACTGTGTTGGACCGCACATACAGGTGTTGATTGGTATGTTCACTGCACATTTTATTTAATCAAATTATTATTTTGATGGGGGTGGGGGGGGAGGGGGATTTTTTTTCTTTTCTTTTTTTTTTATTTTTTTTTTTTTGTTTTATTTTATTTGGGGGGTTGTTTTTAAATAAAAAGAAAAAAAAGGAAAATTGTCCCATCGCTTGAACTTCCCATTCTCTGCCAGTGTTGGGGCTCTGTGCTGCCTCAGTGGGGTGAGGGGACAGCAGAGGGGACACTGGCAGGGGGATGATCCTGTGGTGTGCCAACGTGGACATCCCAGGCTGGGATCACAGCATTTGGATCAGGGCTGGACTCCCCTGACAGATGTTCATGGCCCTTTCTCCAGCTGCCAGCCCCATCCAGCTGTGGAATTCCAGGGCAGGAATGAGGGTGTGGAGCGCCCTGCCAGGAATCATCACATTCCTGCTGACAGCAGCAGCACCTGGAGCTGGCAGGGGCAGGTGGGGACAGGATTTGGGGTGCACAGCCAGAGCCTCTGGCAGTAGCAGGATGCTCCCAACCTTCCGGAGCAGGTGCAGCCGGACAGGTAAGAGCTGCCAGGAAGGGGGGCTCCAGCTCAGGCTGGTTCCAGCTCCCACCTCAGTGCCACCTTAGGCAGGGACCTCAGGGCTGTGTCCCTGTCCACAGGCAGCCTGGCAGCAGTGGGATCCCAGCTCCTGCCATCCCAGCAGAGCCTGGACCAGCAGGACTTGGTGCCAGGGGGTGCAGGCAGCCACTCCACCCCCTGCCAGACCCCACTGCCGCCCCTCTGCCCGCTGAACCCGCAGCAGCCTCCAATGCCCGAGCAAAGCAGGCACTGCAGCTGGAGCCTTTGGCGTGCCCAGCTCCTGGAACCCGCCGTGTGCCCAATTCCTGGAGCCCTGGCTGTGCCCGCTTCCTTCTTTATCCCAGGCCAGGCTGGGGGGGCCCCTGGCACGCCCAGCAACCCACCAACGCAAATAGCCGGCGGCTCCTCCGCCCGCTCCCGCCCGGCGCACGCTGGGGCTCCAATTTCCCGGCGTCAGCCCCCGGCACGGCTCAGCTGTCGTCCCCCTCTGCCCTGTCACTCCGCTGGCCACCGGACCGCCGCCCTCCCCCCGCCACCCAGGCCTGGGGGCTCTGCGCCCATCGGGGCCCCGGCACCGGCCGCGCTTCGGGGGCTTCTCCAGCGCGGGGCGAGAGCGCCAGGCGCAGGGTGAGTGCCCCCCGTGTGCCCCTCTTGCCCTGCTTGTGCCCACCCTGGGCCCCCCCGGGGTTGTAGGGCCTGGGGTGCCCCAATCCTGCAGCGCCAGTGCTCCCCGTTCCCGTTGATGCTTCCTGATGGTTTTCCTGATGGTTTTCCGCTGCTTTTCCTGGCTGCTTTTTCCTGACTGGTTTTCCTCACTGATTTTCCTGATGGTTTTCCTGAATATTTTTCCTGATGGTTTTCCTGACTGGTTTTTCTGATGGTTTTCCTGGCTGGTTTTCCTGATGGTTTTCCTGGCTGGTTTTCCTCACTGGTTTTCCTGCCTGCTTTTCCTGACTGCTTTTCCCTGACTGGTTTTCCTGGCTGGTTTTCCTGCCTGCTTTTCCTGATGATTTTCCTAATGGTTTTCCTAATGGTTTTCTTGACTGGTTATCCTGATGGTTTTCCTGACTGCTTTTCCTGACTGGGGTGGGTATCACCAAAACCAGGGAGTTCTGGGTGGAAGCACCGTGGGTAGGGCTGTCCGAGGTGGCACCGGGATGGTTTGGGGGATGCAGGAGCAGGTCCTGCCCCACTGGCAGCCCAAAGCCGGATGATGCCCATCCCCACCTGAGGGGCAGAGAGTGGCACCGTTTGTGGTTTCACGGTGAGATGGCAATGCCCGGGCTAAGGTGGGCACATGCAGGTAGCCCAGGGGCTGGCTCACAGAGCCAGGGATGTGCCACGCTCTGGGCTGGGCACCGACCTGCTCCAGCCTGGCCCTGGGGCTCACCAAGGCACAACCAGCCCTGGCAGGGGCTGCAGAATGGGCAATGGGAGTGAACCCAGGGTTTCCCTGGCAGAACCAGCCCTGGGAGTGAACCCAGGGTTTCCCGGGCAGAACCAGCCTTTGCCAGGACAGGAGCTGCTGCCCGGGCAGGGGAAGGGGTGGCACTGCCCACCCAGCACGGTCCGACCACCGGGGCAGCTGGAGCTGCTCCAGCCAAAGCCATCCCTGCTCTCCCCCTTGCAGCATGACGGAGAAGGAAGTGCCAGAGCCGCCGGCTTCACCTGCTTCAGGTGGGAAACCCAAGAGCCGGGTAAGTGGGTGCCCACGGGGCAGTTTGGGTGGGTGGGGGAAGCCCCGTCTCTGTCATCACCCTGCCGCAGCCCCAGGAGGATTTGGGAGGCCGAGGGTGCCTGGTGGGACCCTGATCCAGCCAGGTGTAGGGTGGGCATTTCCCAGCTTGGCATTTCCCCGGCGTGCTCAGGAGCCACAGCCACAGAGATTTCACGGGACTTGCAGGAGTATCCCCATCTTCAGAGCCTTCCTGGAGTCTCCTCCCTCTTGTGAAGGGGTTCACGGGGGCGAGGAGCTGGGCACGGGGTGTCTGCCCTCCTTCCTCCCCCACACTGCCACACACCGTCCGTCCCCTCCTGCCCCAGCAGCTGCAGAAGCTGAAGCAACTTTTCCAGCGAAAACCCAAGGAGGAGCCGGTGCAGGAGCCACAGCCCAACGGGGAGCTGGTCAGCCCCTCGGGGGGACCCATCTACTACATCTATGAGGATGACGAAGAGGAGGAAGAGGAGGAGGAGCCCGAGCCCCCTCCCGAGCCGGAGAAACTCGTTAACGACAAACCCCACAAGTTCAAAGACCATTACTTCAAAAAGCCCAAATTTTGTGATGTTTGTGCCCGCATGATCGTCCGTGAGTCCTGAGTGGGGGGCTGGGGGTCGTGGGCAGGGCTGGGGGGCCACGGGTACGGCTGGGGCTGGGGGTCAAGGCTGCCCAGGGCTCTGTCGCGGCCGTTTCACAGCTGCAGTGTCACATTCCCTCTCCTTTCCACCACCCCGTCGCTGCCAGTCAACAACAAATTTGGCCTGAGGTGCAAGAACTGCAAAACAAACATCCACCACCACTGCCAGTCCTACGTGGAGATGCAGCGCTGCTTCGGCAAGATCGTGAGTGCCAACCCCCCCGCCTCCAGCCCCCAGCTCGGGCACCCCCGGCAGGACGCAGGTGCCACCACCCCTGGTCATTTCCTGCCTCTGAAGGGGTCCCCCGTCCCCCTCTGGGGGTCTCCCCAGCTGTGGGTGGCTCTGGGGGGTGGCTGATGTGGCTCAGGTGGCTCCTGGGGGGTGGCTGATGCTGCGACCCCCCCTCTGTCCTCGCAGCCGCCCGGGTTCCGGCGGGCGTACAGCTCCCCCCTCTACAGCGACCAGCAGTACGCCGGCACCAAGGACCAGCTCGGTGAGTCCCCCCTGTCCCTTTGGTCCCCATCTTGGGGTGTCCCACCCCTGACACCCCCCCTGAGCCTTCCCCTGCCCCCGCAGCAAACAGGAGCGACCCCGTGTTCGAGACGCTGCGGACGGGAGTGATCATGGCCAACAAGGAGCGCAAGAAGGGGCAGGACGACAAGAAGAACGTGAGCGTGGCGTGGGGCTGTCACCAAATTCCTGCCGGTGCACCCCAGTGACCCCCCCAAGCCCCCCAAATTCCGCATGTTCTGAGAGCTCTCTCTGCCTTCCAGCCCTTGGCTGCGATGATGGACGAGGAGTCGGAGGCCACGAAGCCGGTGGGGAGCAAAGCTGAGGGTGGTGAGCGCCGAGGGTTGGGGGGCTGAGCCCATGGGGACACGGAGGGACCCCCTGGCTGTGTTTGGGGGGGTCACCAGGGTGGGTTTGCCCTGCAGAAAGAGGGTCCCCAGTTCACGTCCCCACCCCGGGGCTCTCGCTGCATCCCCACGTTGGCTGAGGAGACCCTCGGGAGGCACCACCAGGAGAGGTGTGACCCCTCCTCCCGTTCCCAGGTGCCGCCGAGGGGGACAAGAAGGCTGAGAAGATCCCAACAGATGACAAGGTACCCCTCATCCTCGCCCTGCACCCCAAAACCTCGAGCAGAGCCCGTGGGATCTCCCTGCCGGGACCCTCAGGGCTGTCTGCCAACCCCACTGTGTCCCCCAGAGCAAGAAGCCACAGCCAGGGGGGTTCCTGCAGTCCCACTATTTCGTGGCACTTTATCGCTTCAAAGCCCTGGAGAAGGACGACCTGGACTTCCCGTGAGTTCCCAGCCTCCTCCTGGGCTCTTTCCCGAGGTTTTTTGGGGTTTGGCTCGGTGTGGTTCCGTGGATTTCCCGAGGCTGAGCTGCTCTGGGCAGGACCTGCCTGTCCCTGAGCCCGTGGGCTCCGTGTCCCGTGCCAGACACGGGGCTGGAGGAGCTGATTCTGAAGGAAAAGCGATTTTCCTTGGGGTCTGCCCCCCTCAGAGACCCCCCTCCTTCCCTTCCAGGCCGGGGGAGAAGATCACGGTGGTCGATGACTCCAACGAGGAGTGGTGGCGGGTGAGGCTGGGAAAGCACGTGGCACTGCCAGGGGGGCACCCAAATTTGCTGTCACCCCCCAACCTGGCGAGGGGGAGGCTCTGGGACCCCCACATGGGCCCCAATCCCCCCTTGCGCTCCCTGCAGGGGAAGATCGGGGAGAAAGTCGGATATTTCCCCCCCAACTTCATAATCCGGGTGCGGGCAGGCGAGCGGGTGCACAAGGTGACGCGTTCCTTCGTGGGCAACCGGGAAATCGGGCAGATCACGCTCAAAAAGGATCAGGTGAGGCGGGGACCCCCCCCTCAACACCACCCGGAGACCCCCCAAC